CCCAAGTAATGGAATGAATTTTGAATCATATAATGCATTACTTTAACTATAAATGGGTCACTTTTACTTATTAAATTTTCGGCCCAAGAAACTATTTTAACTTGTTGGTAAAGGCCCGATCTCCAACATGGTATCTCCTCTTTCATCTTAAAATCCATTCACACTAAAGATGGATGGTGTATTTTTTTCAGTAAATTTCTAGATCAATTAATTTATCTCAGTTTGTAAATATATAAATATTTCATTTTCATTTTGGTAAATATTTTTATTAGCGATGGTTTTTTTTGAAGTATATACATGCTAATTTTCTATTTCTTTTTATTTATAGGATGAATTAAAACGAGGAGATATTTCCAAATCCATTCAATGTTACATGCATGAAGCCGCAGCATCTGAAGAAAAAGCTAGTGATCATATAAGAAATTTAATTGGAAATACATGGAAGAAAATAAATGATTATCAATTTATTAATCCTCATATCTCCCAAACTTTCATTGGAATTGCAATTAACCTTGCACGAATGGCACAATGCATGTATCAATACGGAGATGGACATGGTGTTGGACATCTTGAGACTAAGGATAAGGTGAAATCCTTACTTATTAAGCCTTTATAATTTCATCACAATAAAGGATAAAAAAAATTCATAAGATTGATCTATATGTTTTATTACATTAAGTTGGAGAAACATGTATTTTTATTCTAGCTTAAATATCAATATGTAATAAAGGACTATATATTTCTTCTTTATTTAGAAGATTAGTCAACTATAGCTTCATTATATCCTAGATATCAATATGTAATTAAGATCTAGATATTACCTTGTATTTTTATATAAATTTGTCCTATGTGTCAAAGAAAAAATATAATTCTCTACAAATATTTTTATATAATTTTAATATGATATTAAATTAGAGAACATTTACTCCACAAAAACCTTAGAATCACTTTATATAGATATTTTTTTTTTTTATTCCTACTAATAGAACTCACTAACCCACAAGAAACTATATAAGACTTATTTTGATTACCTAAATTTTACACCAAACTCATGAATATTTTGTTGTTTGGATTGGTATCATTTATACTATATAGGCCTTGATCATTTTGATGTATATATTTGGCAAAGACAAACTAGCATATATCAATTGGAACTTTTTGAAATTGGATGAATAGATCGTAATAACAGAAAGTGGAAGAGTTAAAACTATGATATCAAAGGTAGCTAATCAGTTTAATGGAACCAATTTTGATTGGAAATTTCAATTGGTTTTCTATGGCAAAATCAGTATAGGATACAATGACAACAATATATTTTCATGGAACAAATACCTCTTAACTATATAAAATAAAAAAATAAGTAAACTAATTAAAACAAGATGGTAGGATCTGAGAGACATACTATAACAGTTCAATAAGATTGTGGAGAGAGATTAATTTTACAAGACCTAGTCTTATGGTTGGTGATCATGATATTAAAAATTCAACTCAATTCATTAAGAAAACATAAATCATACCTTTTTAAATAGGCTAGATTATCAACCAGACAAAATTAGAGCGGATGTTATTCGAATAAAGTCACTTTCCATAGTGGAACAACTATTTTCCACGACATGAAAGACTCAGTAATCTATGATGCTTAGGAGTATCTATGTGGGGATGATGATATGGAAAAAATTCATCAACTAGCCACCATGACACCAGGATAATGAGAGGCAATTGAAACTATTTTATTTAGCCCCGAAAATAATAACAATATGTAATTAAGGATCAAATGTTCTTTTATATTTACAAGATTATTCAACTATAGCTTGATTCTAATTTAGATATCAGCGTGTAATTCAAGTTTAGATCTACGTTTTACTCCATATAAATAAATAAAAAAACAAAAGGAGAATTCATTATAGTCTCCCTCATATATTTTTTATTCACCACCACATTGTGGTAATCTTTTTATCATTCATAAAAAAAAATTATTTATCTTTAAATTAGAGGCATTTTTATCTTTAAATACGGTTCATTAGACATTATAAATTTTCTTGGAGGTATTTTATCTATTCAATATATTTATGAACAGTTAAAGAACCAAAATACCCTTAGAATAAAATTTTAAAAAAATTAAAATTATGGGATAGGGGTATTAGTGTTTTTTTTTAAGCATACAATAAGATTATATATATATATATATATATAAAGATGGTCAGTTTGTAACCAATGTCCCTTTGTTTTTCTTTCCCCTTTATTTCTCTCTTCTACCTCATAAAATTAACTCTTGTTCTTTTTTTTGTATTTGAAATTCAGTCCTTTGAGTTTTTATTTTTTTTTATGTTAAAATTTTATTTATTTTCAATTTAATCCTTCAATTCTAATTTATATATATAATATTTTCAATTTGATCCTTCAACTCTTGATTTTTTTTCTTTGCTCTTTTTATTAAAATTTTCATGGCTTTCAATTTTATTTGTAATATCAATTTTTTTATTTTTTTTCCAATAGGAATAATACTAATTTTGATTTGATCCTTTTTCTTTTGGTTTTTTAATTTTTTTTCTTTTGTCAAAGTTTTGATGATTTTTAATTTTATCCTTCAAATCAAGTTTATATTTTTTTTCAATAATAATAATAATGGAAGATCATTCTAAATATTAAAATAAAAAAATAAAGCATTATTGTTTTCTTTATTAAAATAAAAATTCAATAATCAAATATTTAGTTTTCAACCATTCTATTTTATCCTTTTTGATTGATTAATTGTCGTAAACCAAATCAAATAAAGTTTGAGTATGTCTCTCTCTCCCGTGAGAAATTATTAGATAAACTAAAACAATTAATTTACTTGTATACTGAAGTGATAGTTACGTGGATCATAATTATTAGATAAATATGTATATGTACAAATACTAATATACAAACCCGAACTCATTATGTCTAATAGTTTCAAAACATTAAAAAAAAAAAGCTAACTCTTGGAGTGTTTCTTATTTATTTTGACTCTTCTAAGATGGTGGTTTTCATATAATATTATATTTACCCAAGTGATTTTTAAAAGTATATCCTAATTTTTTTGAGAAATTAAATGCTAATTCTTTTACAATTTCATGATCAAATTTTAAATTCAAAAACTTATAATGTTAGATAAAATTAAGGATATTATCAAATAGAATTGAATAATAAAATTTAAATTCATTATTATTTGGTTAATAAAACAATAATATGTTATTACAAATTTATATTAATCTAAACATGAAAGTATATAAGCAATATTGTACTAAAGATACTATCAATAGGCATGCACAATTGCAAGACGATGGATACTGGGAATTAGGATATTACCTAATTTTCCGGGCTTCGTTGGATTTGAAAATTAACAGAAATATAAACATAATTAAAAATGATAAAGTGATGTGCCTGTTATATTCAACTGGTTACACATCTAATCACGTGAACTGCCCATAGAAAACGGCAGCATAATCAATTAATCATCAAAAAATTAGATATGCCGGTAAGATAAATTCATTTTTAATTCATTTATTTAAGATTTAATCTTTCATCAAATAATCTCAGACTATATCTAAATAAACTAATTGATAAAATATTAATGGTCTATGTTCTATAAAAACAAAAAATAAAAAACACTACAAGATTTAATATGCACAATTGCAAGACGATGGATACTGGGAATGAGGATATTACCTAATTTTCCGGGCTTCGTTGGATTTGAAAATTAACAGAAATATAAACATAATTAAAAATGATAAAGTGATGTGCCTGTTACATTCAACTGGATACACATCTAATCACGTGAACTGCCCATAGAAAACGGCAGCATAATCAATTAATCATCAAAAAATTAGATGTGCCGGTAAGATAAATTCACTTTTAATTCATTTATTTAAGATTTAATTTTTCATCAAATAATCTCAGACTATATCTATATAAACTAATAGATAAAATATTAATGGTCTATGTTTTATAAAAATAAAAAATAAAAAACACTACAAGATTTAATAGTTTTACCGACGAAAGTTTTCCATCGGCATAAGACATATATTTTGTCGGTAATTAATTTACCAATGAAATCATATGAAATTTTTTTATCGGTATAAGACATATATTCCGTCGGTAATTAATTTACCAATGAAATCATTGACAGAAATGATCCGTCAATGAATTTTTCATCGATAATTTTTTATCCATCGGTAAATCCATTGGTAATAAGAAAATATTATTATCGACGGATTTACTGACGGAACAGACACATCGATAATAATATTTTTTTATTACCAACAGATTTACCCATAGATATACCGACAGAATTTTTGTTGGTAATTTTGTCGGTAATTATATAAAGGAATTTATAAAAAAAACATTTATTTTTATAAAATTATAAAATAATTAAATCAACATTCTATAATATATACTCAAAATGCTTGGAAAAGGAATAAGAAAATTAACTTAAACAAATTTCAAGCAAATAAATAAAATGAAAAAAAAAATTAACTAAAAAAATTTATATGAAAAAAATGAAGTTGCAATTGCTAAAAATTTAAAAATTCCTATAAATAAATCAACTAAAAATTGATCTCATATGAAAAAAAAATCACAACAATATTTATACAATTATTAAGAATAAAAACAATTAAAAATAAAATAAAATAACAAATATAGTGAAAAAAATCATGAAAAAAAATCTTACCTTAATGTATTTGCAAGTGAAACTAAGAAGTGAAAAACAAATTATAAAGCATGTTAATTAAAAAAACAAAAAGGGATAAAAGAAGGAAGAAGAAGAAGACATACCCGAGCATAAAAAAAAAAAAGAGATGAGGAAAGAGAAAAAATAGATATTGATGTTTTATTCATATAGTGAAAAAGAAGAAGAACAAGAAATGAGTTTTATCTTTTATGAAATAAGAGAATTCAGGGTTTTTATTGGGGCATGTTAGCGACGGATTTACTGACAGATAATTGAATATTAATATTTTTTAATTATTCTGTCAGTAATTTTTTTGACAATATTTAATTTACATTTTTAATTTTATAAAAAGTTTTCAGAAACCGCCAACAATTAAAAATGATTTTTCAATCCATTAGTGATTTTTTCTATAATATTTAAATAAAAATTTTAAATTACTTGAATATTTTAAAAAAATCACCAGACAATACCGATAACTTTTTAATCCATCAGTAATCTCAAACTTTCACACTCATCTTGGTTTTTTTATTAAATTAATTAAAAATACAAACAAATGATGTTTAATTCGTTATTAAAATATTATTATCATACTAGAAAATTATATAAACCCAAATTTTGAATTGTTGAATGGTATTTCAAAAGGATTTTATATTATTTTTTAATAATAATTTTCAAAGATAAGTATGAAAATATTATATGTAATTTAATCAATTAGTCAAGTTTTAAATTTGTTTTTTAAAAATTACCTATTTGAGTTCTATAAAAATTAAAATTATTAAAAACTTGTATAATTATTAACTTTAAAATTTATAAAATTAATTAAGATACATATAAATTAGTCATGTATCCATGTTAATTAGAAAAAAGTATGCAAATATTGCCAAGGGGGTCGTTGGGCATTTAAATACACAGTTTAATATTAAAACAACGAAAAGAAAGGAAAAATCCTTCAAGGTAAAAGGCCATGCACGTACGATGAGCGTGCATGGAATATTAACTACAATAAAAAAAAAAATGTTAATTGCACGTATAATTGAAGATTCCTGGGATACATAATACTCATATGGATCTCGAGAAAAGATTCACGAGATCCTCGCCCTCCATTCCTGCCCCGTTTGA